GGACATCATCCCACTGCTGCCCAGGACATCATCCCACTGCTGCCCAGGACATCATCCCACTGCTGCCCAGGACATCATCCCACTGCTGCCCTGGACATCCCATTGCTGCCCAGGACATCCCACTGCTGCCCTGGGTCATGCAGCCATGAAGCCATGGCTCTTTAGGACCAGTCTGCTCACACATTCTAGCATGTCATAGATGAGGTAGATGGTGAGGTGTGTCAGCTCGAAGCCACGGGTGTGTACCTGGGTGGCTGCTGAGTTGGTCAGTCCCAGCTGCTGGGACCACTTCCTCAGGTGAGGGGCAGGGCCAACTTTCCTGCACTGGGGACATCTAAGTCCATTATTCCAAGGCTGGCTAGGAACAGGGTCAGCTCTCTTGGGTTGGGGGCTTTCCCTGGACCAGTGAGAGGCAGGACCAGCTCAGAGAGGCCTTTATACTTCAACTCATGCTTCAACACATGGATCACATGGTCCCCTGTAGTATATGGGCAATGGACATCAACACAGACCCCAGCTGCATCACGACCATGGACTCAGACATGGCCAGCAGCAGCAGCTTGGGGCTGGATGTCATTATGGCCCCGAGTGGCAATGTATGTCTCATATCAGCATGGGCCCAGTAACAGTGTGGTCCCCAGACCCCAATATGGTCTCAGGTGGCAGTAAAGATCCTAAGCAATCGAATGGAATGGCCCCTGATGGCAACAGGAGTCACAGGCCTTAACACAGACCCTGACTGCGGTAGGGCCATAGACCCAGATGTGGACCCTTCCACAGCTCAGGCCTAGATGCTTACATATCTTAGCGTGGCATTTCATGGCCCTGACAGCAGCATGATCCTTGGGCACCAACATGGCCTCAGGTGTTGGCCTAGACCCCAAGCATCTATACTGCCTTTGATGGTAACCTGAGCCATTCAACCGACTTTGATGCAGACCCTTGCTGTGGAGGAGCCATGGAGCCAGACAGACATGGCCCTCAACAGCAGCCCAGCCTGGGAATCTTCAAGGCTACTCAGGTCGGCAAGGCTCTGGCAACTGCACATGGACATCTCATGGACCCCAACATGGTCACAGGTGGTAATCAGGAAGCTGGGCATCCTTGTGGCCTTTGGTGGTGCGGGGGGGGTGGGGGCATGAACATCAACATAGACCCCAGCTGTACTAGGACCACGAACCCAGACATGATCCTCAGCAGCCTCAAGGACCCAGATGCCATCATGACCTGTGGTGACTGTGCAGGCCTTTAAGATTGCAATTGCCCAGAGAGAGAGAGAGTGAGAGGAGGGGAGAAGAGAGAGAGAGAGAGAGAGAGAGAGAGAGAGAGAGAGAGAGAGAGAGAACGCCTGGGCCTGTCCTTGGATTTTGAAACCTCAAAGCCCACCCTCAGTGATGTATTTCCTCCACCAAGGCCATGTATATTCTAACAAGGCCACACCTCCTTAGCTTTGTAATCTTTCCAAACAGTTTCATTCCCTGGTGACCAAGCATTCAAATACATGATCCTATGGGGGCCATCATCATTCAAATCACCACAAACAGTATATATTTTAAGAAACAGTTTGAAAAGCTAGGTGTAGGTGTACATACTGCCAACGCTTGGTGGGTGGAGGGAAGGGGACAGTAGTTTACAGCTAGCCTCAGCTACACATGACTGTGTCTCACAGGGAAAAAGCATATAGAAAAACTAGAAAAGTGTTGAAATATACTTTTTTAATACTTCAAAATCAATCAGAATTCTCATTCTCAAGTTCACTTCTTAATAATGTCTTCATAGGTAATTTTTTTGCACAGCAGAGCAATCTGCATATCATATATCACCTATAATGGAGGACTTGACTGTGTTAATGCAATGCCTCACTGTAAATGTCTATAAATACAAATGAGGTGTTTAAATGTGAAGATCCTGTGGATAGATGGCACTTCCTATAATTATAGCATCATTACACCTGCCTGCACTGCACGGAATAGTTAAAGTTACAACTGTTCCTATTATTGGAAAAGTAATAACACTTATAATTGTACAATGAAGTATTAAAAGCTTAATACTCAATTTGAAGGCAGATGAACTACAAATGCAGTGAAAACTGAACCCATAAAATTCATACAGTTAATACACATATGCTATAGACAGACACTACAGAGTAAGAAGAGATCTGTGGAGTCCACATGGCTCTCCTTTCCAGATGCTCACATTCTAATTTTTGAGTAGCACTATGATAAGTATTTATCATCCATGAATCATCACCATTGTGTGTGTGTGTGTGTGTGTGTGTGTGTGTGTGTGTGTGTAAGCCAGAAGTTGACATTAAGTATCTTCCTCAATCATTCTCTACCTATTTTTGGAGGCAGTCTTGGTTGCATCTAGCTCACTGGTTTGGCTTGGTTGGCTAGCATGCTCTAGAGATCTCTTGCTTCTGCTTCCCCATGCTGGAATTGTAGGCATGCTGTATCTGACTGTATATATAGGTACTTGGATTTTGAACCCAGGTCCTGAAGTGTGCAAACATTTTACCTACTGAGATATCTCCCTATTACTCATATCAACATTTTTATTCTGAGGCATGCATAAACTCAGATTAAATGGATGAAATTATAAGTAAGGTAGATGCCTTTTAGTTTACTTGTGTTGAGGTCAATTGCTTAGAAAACCAGTAATATTACATTGTTGCTTTTTTACGTATGCAATGTTGATCATTTAAATCTGTGCCAGGTAACTCACCATCATTTCGCAGAGTGAGCGGTGTAGGAGGACTGAGCACTCGAGCATTCGTCACGGAGTTTTTCACCAGACAAATATAGCTGCCAACATCTGATGTTTGCACTTTAGAAATATAAAGGTTGCCTGTCTCTTGGGATATGAACCGCCGGCTGTCCTCCGCCACAAAGGAGGGGAACTCGTTAAAGACCCAGCTATAGATGAGCTCTGAAAACACACAGAATTCAGTTGTTGAATAATTCAGATCACTTAACTACAGACAAAGTTCAAACTACAAGGGCTTTACTAAACATGCTTTGGATCCAAGCCCACACATATTTGATTCATAAATACTTTAATATATTATATTAAAAGTATAGTTCTGGTTTATAGCTGTGGAAAGATGTCACATAATTCTCAGAGATGCTCTGCATTTATTCGTTTTACCTTTAGTTCTGAAGAGTATTAAGTAGGTGCTTGATATTCAGCATTGTGATAACATGAAAGTTGAAAATTGAAGAGATAATTCATTGTTCTTCTGTATCTACTTAATGGGTTGATACAGTTAATGGGTTATTAAAACCTATGAAAGAGTATAAAAAGGCAGAACAAATAGTGAGGAAAATATGGGAGATATGTACTTAATCCTATTGGTCCATATGGACTTCCTGATTTAGGAGCTAACTAGACTTTAGTAATTACTGGTTTGTTCATCAAATATTGGATGTGGATTTACCTTAGACCAGACATCATTCCAAAAAGAAAAGTAAAATATCCCAATTTCATTGAGCTATCCATCTGATGGAGGAGAAGCCAAGATTATAAGGACAACTGAGCAAAGGTTAATGAATGGGATGAAAAATGACAGAAAAAGGAAGAAGAAAACTAAAGCATCTTCATTGAGCTGGCGAGTGGTCAGACTGAAGGAGAACCTGAGGACTGTATTTTACAGAGTCTCTTCAGCTCCGAAGTGAAGAATGGGAAAATGGTGCAAATCAATGACTACGAGAGCAAAGAGGATGAATAAAATCACAACCACAGGAAGCTGGTTGTAAGTAGTTACAAGTGACATTGCTTTTGAGTGGCAGTGGCAGTGATGCTAGTGAGGAGCCACAGGCTCTTGATTGTGTTGAGAGCATGGCAGAAGAGCACTGAGACAGAGACTCTCAGCAGGCAAGAGCATTTGCTGCTCTTGTAGTGACCCACGTGGGTTCCTAGATACATATCGTGTGGCTCATAACTGCTGTAACTCAGGATCCAGGGGATCTGACACTCTCCTCTGGCCTCTTCTGGGCACCTACTGTCATGTACACACACACACACACACACACACACACACACACACACACACACGAACATATAGTTTACATATAAATAAACATAAATTTAAATTAAAAATATTATAGAAAAATTAAGAAAAAAATTGATCATGATAAACAGGAAGAGACAAAAATTAAGGATTTGGATTTAAGTAACTAAGCAGTGTAGGAGAGAATATACATTTATCTCTCTGTCTGGATAGCACAATGATAAAAAACAAAGTTCTTTGGAGATGTGAGCACAGTGAAACTATGACCCCTTAAACTGATATGTCAGTTATAAAATTCAGACCCAATAAGGAAGGCCTTTAAATTTGAAGACAGGGCTATTGAAATCTTAGTTGGCTTCAAACTCATCTATGTTATAACTGGAAGAACAGATCCCACATTCTCCTTCTTGCAGAGTTACTTGTTTGAGAAGGCAAATTAACTAAGGCTTTAAAATACACAACATGTTATTATAATCTACCTTTAGAGTTAGGAAGATTCACTTTATATTGTATTTTTCTTTATTCCTCTCAATCACCCTGTGTTCTCTCTTTATCCTACCATGGATTGTTAAAAGTCAGTTCCCATCTCTTCTACCTACTTGAAAATGGGGAACCTGGCCTTGAGCCAACATTTCCAGATGGGTAAGCAGATTTGAAAAATATTGTGAGGGACAAAACCTCAATCAGACATCTCTCATTACTAAATAAATTTCCCAAGATTGGAATTTGGTTGGATCTAACTGAGTTATTGTCCAAAGGGGCCCTATAGGAACCCCCACCTCCTCCCCCCAACACCAAACAACCCAGGCTATCATCAAGGCTATTGGTTGTGCTCCATAAACTGATAGTAAGGCCCTATTGCAGAAGACAACAACTGCATAAGTCATTGAACATGGAGAAGACAAGCTGGTGCTTACTTAGAGCCTTTACCCCTACTGGTTAGTGTTCTTGGTACTAGAAGGTACTCTGTACACTACCAGAGGAGAAAGATTAATATGTACCAATGCAGCTACAAACCTATGATCTACAATGGTGATCTGCCTGCATGATATGCTAATGCAACAGTATCATAAAAGATGTTGGAGTAACCAACAACTATCTTATTGGGAATAAAGTTCACTCCATAAGCTGGAACCTGTGCCTGACATTGCTCTGGTGGCCAAGAACCTGAGACTAGATAGGACATGGTCTAGGGGAAAAGCCAAATACTACTCTCCTGCTAAAGGAAGGTTTCAATAAAGGGACTCCCAATACATTCTGCTATACTTGTAGATCATCTTGCTTAGTCATTATCAGAGAAGCTTCCTCCTGCAGTAGATAGGAACCAATACTGGGATCCACAGCTAGAAAATACACAGAGTAAGAGACCTTGGAACACACAGTCCTAAGTGGGATGTCTCCATCAAATCCCTCCCCTCATGGCTCAGGGAACTCTGTAGAAGAGGAGGCAGAAATATTGTAAGAGCCAGAGAGGATAGAGGAAGACCAAGGGCACAAGGCCTTATAGAAAGAACAGGACTGAAACATACATGAACACACAGAGTGTGGCAACATTCAAAGGACCTACATAGGTCTGAGCCAGATGGATTCCCAGTTCTTAAAGGAAAAAGAAATGGACACAATCCCCCATCCCTAACTCAGAACCCAACTGATAACACTCACAAAGGAAGATTTGGTTTTCTCTAATAAAGTCTCATTGAGTATACAAAGCAAACATGAGGGAAGGCTGTCCTCCCAGCAGTAGATGATCAGTAAATGTCAAACTCGGTAATTCAGTGGTGTCTTTGGAGGGCTGTTTTTTTTTTAAACCTTACAGATCTTTTGCTTATATATTATAGTTTTTAATTTTTTTTCTGTGTGTGATAATGTGTGTTTTAGCATTTGTGTTTCTTGTGCTTTTACTTTTGCCTTTTTTTCTGTTTATTTATCTTATCCTAATCTGGTTTGTTTTTATTTTGTCTTATTATTATTTTATATTTATTTTTTTAGATTCCTGCTTGTATTTTAATCAGAGAGAAAAAGAAAGGATATAGATTTGGGTAGGTAATAAAGTGGGGCGAATCTGGGAGGAGCTCTATAATCAGAATTACTGAATGAAAAAAATTCCATTTTCAACTAAAAAGAAGAAATGATTAAAATTATTCAAGTGAACTTACAATGATTAAGCCCATGCATGGAGTATAAGTGAAATACACACCCTAATTAGACCCTAACTAGAAGGACTTTTATCTGAGGATGTGGTCCCTCTAACTAATAACCCAATACAAGTTTCATTTTTTATTCACACACAATCCAAAGAAACATAATGTTTCAATCATATATATTTCACAGGATTTTACTGAAGTTTTCTCAAATTTTTGCTTACTATTTGAAATTTTAAGGGACAGAGAGTATTGAGCAATTATAAGCTGTCACTTAAAAAAATCTCTATTTCTTATACTGATAGAAATTTGTTGAGTCAAATATTTGTTAAATATTTTGAGGCTAAGAGACTGGTATACAAAATTGGCACTTTTAATATCTCAAAGCTAAATGGGAATTTGGGGACTCAAAAATGCTGATTTATTTTTGCAGTCAAGTTTTCTTTTTCACATAATGCCAAGAAGGCCAGAAAGGAGAACACTGCACAATAACACAGCTGATACCCTGGAACTGGGTTAGATTTCCTGCCTGCGCCCAAAATAGAAATATTGAATGGAGTCAAACATTATTTAAGATCCTGTGTACATTTTCTATTAAGGCTTTTTATTATCTGTTAACATTTATTCAATCTCTTCAAACTTTACTTTCACAATAAAAAAGAATATAGTTACTTTTAAAGGATGACTATACAGTAATTCACAGAGACTAAAAAACATAATAGCCTCTATGGCTTTAGTCTATTTTGTATGCTACTTTGTTGTATATTAACTATGGGTGGGTCTTTAAATAAACCAAATATGTATCAACTTATCAAATAATAACAGTTTGGTATCATGCTTCATTTCAGAATACAATGAGACTAAGTGTAAGCCATGATTTCCTCATTTTCAAAAATGTCTTTTAAAAAGAATATTAAATCTCTCTCCTGTATATTCAGTACTATGTGGTAAGATAAATTTGATTTATAAAACCAGGTTTTTGGTTTCTTATTGGAGACTTTTTGTCTTTTTATGTTGAACTCAATAGTAACTCTAGTTCACTAGGTGTTTAACCCATCCAGATCATTGATGTGATTGATGGATGTGCCTTATCTCAAATTCTGTTCTCTAGCTAACCCAAATATTTACCCTTAATGCTGACATACTCAAATTTCTAGACTTTGAAGTAGATTTCCATAATATTAAAATACACAGACACACACACACTCCACACATATACACATACAATCATACAGATCCAGTCTCTCTCTCTCTCTCTCTCTCTCTCTCTCTCTCTCTCTCTCTCTCTCTCTCTCTCTCTCTCTCTCTCTCTCTCTCTCTCTCTCTCTCTCTCTCTCTCTCACACACACACACACACACACACACACACACACACACATATGCACAGACACACACAGACTACAGACCCACACCTCTTTGTGATAAAAACTCCAAACAAATTAGATCTAGAAGGAATATATCTACATAATAAAGGTATGAATAAAAAAGTTTAAAGTTAATATTGTACTAAATGTGGGAAATCCAAAAGACTTCCTAGAGTCTTAAAAGAAGACAAAGATTTCAGAAACTGCTGCTCCTGTGAGATCCCACAGTCCTAGAACTCCACTCATGGCTCCAAGCCATCTGATTTGTAAGTGAAGTAAAATCCTGTTTGTGTATGGATAATATCACCTTCTATTCAGAAATCTTCTCTCCAAATTTCACACCAAACCCTACTAGAATAAATTAATTCAGCTTTGAAATGATGAATTGTTTGAAATACAACTTAAAGACTTTAA